ATCCCATGTTCATGGATCAGAATTCTTAATGTTGGCAAGACAGCAATATTTTTCAAAATGATCTGGAGATTCAACACAATCCCTCTCAGAAGGCTGGTTCAAAAGGCCCATACCATGTACAACACAAAGACTGAATCCTGGTGTAGACTACAGGCTTTAGTTAGTAGTAATATATCAATATTGGCTAATCAGCTGTAACAAATATACCCCACAAATGCAAGACGTTCATAACAGGAAACCTGAGGGTGATATGGAAACTCTACTTTCTGCTCAATTTATCTGTAACCTAAAACTGCTTCCCCAAAATAAAGACTATGAATTCTTCCAAAGTCAAACAATGTCAATTGCCAAAAAAATAAATAATAATCCTAAAGCCTAACATTAAGAAGAAGAAACAAATCTTTAAAGCTCATGATGCACTCAGAATTCTGCTCACACCAGAAAGCCAGCTGACGTTTTGGTGAGAAGAGCAGCTGTTCCCCTGTGGTGTTAAAATAAACTCTGGACAACTTTTTGATAACCTCTCATTTGGCTGCTCCTGAAACAATTGTGTTTACAGTAAATACCAAGATCTACTACTGGTGAAGCTCTGAAATTATCTTCCTTATCTGCAATTAACTATAGGCTCTGGAAAGCCTCCCTTTCTTTCAGACTCAAAAAGCAAGTAACTGAATTAAACAGACTTCTAAAAATGTTCCTGAAGATTAAATCCTGTTTCTCCTGTCAAATAGCAGCTCTCTCTGCTCATCTCTCCCCCACCAGCAGAACTCAACATTCCCCACCTCTTCTACTCCCGCAGAACCTGGCGCTTACCTCTAGAGATGTATTTTTCACACTGCAGATCAGCTGGCCCAGTACTGACCGGGCCTATCCCCGACACCGTGAGCCCCTGAGGACTGGGACTGTACCACAGTCATTGCATGCTAAGACCTCACACCTGAAAGGCATTACCAATCGGGGTGTTTCTGGATGTAAGTGATGGACATCTAATTCAAACCAAGTGGCTCACCTGCCAGGAAAGTGGGACTAGTTACTGGTTCTAAGGGCTGCTGAATCTGGGGCTGTAAGTTTTGGGTGAAGGGCAGGTATATGTGTCCATGTGTCCCCCTCACCCCCATCTCTTTGCTTCCATCTATCTCCCTGCTCCGATTTTCTCTCTGTGTTAACTTCGTTCTCAGAAAGGCTCTCCCTACATGGTACAAAGAGGGTCACAGCATCTCCAGCTTAACAGACTCACAGAAAGGAAAAACCTCTTTGCAACCGATTCAGTGAAAATACCTCAGTAACGGGGCCCTGGGATCCTGACTAGCCAGGCTGATGTCGCGTGCCCACGACAGAAGCAGCGCGGTCACCTCCTCTAACAACACGGGCTGAGAACAAAGCAAGGGTGACGGGTGCCCAGGGGAAGTCTGGGAGATTTACTGAAAGCAGGAGGAAAAGGATGCTGGGTGGGCAAAGCCAACAGACGTTCACTGCTTTCCAGGCTTTCAAGACCGCCAGCTCACTCCTTTCTAGTATTTATTCACTGCTTATGATGTCATTCTGAGCTACCAATATCCAGTAGAAAGTGTCTGCAGTGCCTATTCCAGTATGATATTCTTTCTCTTTCATGTGTGGTTAATACAGTTTCCTTCTCCTGGTCCACAGTGAGGCTATTCTGCATGTAGTTATATTCCTATTATTTTTAGGACATTTCTTCTCATTTGTCCTATATGAGTATCTTAATGGCAAGTGCACATATTGCTGAAAATGAATGTATGGCTAGCTTTTGTTGGGGAGAGATAAGAGTAAATAGAAACTTGCCAAGCAAACCAAAGGAGCACAGACAGAAGCATCCCCAACCCCTGCAAAAAAAAAAAAAAGACGACAAAAAAGGCAGGGCTCCAAAATCCACCCTTCACAGTGTGAAACAGAAATGAGGGCAAGTCTCTGAAAAGTACCAGTACAGGTCCAAGCTTTCTCGAGGACATGGCTTTGTCTCCAAAATCAAGCCAAGACCATGGAGGCTGCTATGGGCGACCTCTGGCTGTGGCTTCTTATACATTTGTTAAGCTTAAGACCTTCCTCTCTTTTCTCAGAGAGAATGGGACAGAGGAGAGGGAGAAGGAAGAGAAAGAAAAGAAGACAACCATACACTGTACACACAAGCTCACCTGGATCCATCTGCCACCTGTACGACACTAGGAATCTCCCACGTAACCAGGAATGATTATTTGAGGTTGTCTCAAAACCGCTTTATGGAATGAACCAAACAACTTTCCCCATCTGACCCAATCCATTTTATCCAGCCTCTCTTATCTTACACCAACCTGATTTTGCTTTAGTCACTGTCTGTCTCAGGCTTTCACAGGAGCTTTCTTTTATGGATTTTCCATACAGCAAACATTTCTGTTCCACGGCTGGGCAGGTCCGACCACAGCATGCTTGGCCCCGGACGGCAACAGCTCACTCAGTGCAGCTCCAACCTGGAGGGGAAAGGCCGGGAGCCATTAGACGGGTTCACACTCACAAACTCTCTCTCTCTCAAGATTGTATGTTTGGCAGGATAACCCTACTGTCTGCCAAACAGTTAACATCATTAGTGAACAGAGACAACGGTTTATAAGGTGTCCCAAAGACAAGCTTGGGCTATTCTGAGGGGAGGGTTGAAGTATTTAACTATTACTGAAAAGGTATGACCAAATAGTTAGGCTCTGTTTGTGGAAAATTTAAAAGCCAGATGTTTTAATTAACCACAGAAAACATGAGCTACAACTAAAGTTTCATGAACACCCTGATCTGCCCTGTGGAAAACCACAGGAATGTTCTGGCAAGGCTCAGTCTGAATTCTTGGGACACAGAGGGCTGGAATCATTCCCCTTAGGAACTCGAACAGAAAATTAACTTGCTCAATATGTTTAAAAAAGTAAAATGAAACCCAGATTTAATCTCAATCAAATATAAAAACATTTCAGGACTTCAAAGGCACCACCAAAAGACACATAAGGGAAAGGTCATAAAAAAATTCCAGTGTGGTTCAGGATTTAGAATGTATTTTCAATGCAAAGTGAGTGGTGTAACAGAAAAATTTATAGGTTGAATAATCTAAAGGGGAAGCTAATCATCTTTCATTTCCTAATAGAGAAGAATGATATACGAAACCAATATTCAAGCAAGTCATAAATGTTATCAAATGTATAATATATCCGGGCAAAAGGAATCACTTAGCTAACCTACTTCATGCCAAACCTGTGGCCTAGCCCACACTAGCTACTATGCTTTAGTAAGAGTCAAAGCATCCAGAAAAACAGTGCTAAAATAACGTAGGCTCACTGATATTGCAGCCAGCAATTTGGAAACAGAAAACTCAAATGAGGGAATCTTATAAAAGCAATTAGTGAACAATTAAGAACTAATGGATGAAGAAGAAGTCTTTGTTAATTATAGTAAGAGTTACGACAACATCGATATGTACCAAATATTGAAAGCCTACTCAAGAAGGAATGAGATCTATGTTATGTTCTGATACTGGGTCCACAATTCTATTTCTGTACGTCAAAGCAGACCCCGTCACAAGTGTACCAAGCGTATTACATTAAACGCCACCTTCATTTGGAAACTCTGTCCCAAAAATCATTTCAAAAGGAGCATAGCAGGGAAAAAGCAAGATATCAAATTACACGTGTGTGGTATAATCCCAGTTTTGTTCTACAAACTGAGTGCATATAATCTAAAGACACCAAGTATGAACAAAAATAGCTATTTCCTGGGTCATGGAATTAGAAATTTATGTATTAATGTCTTAGTGTTTTCCAAGTTTTCTAAAATTAATATGTATTGTTTGCAGAGTTAGAATATTTTTAAGCAAGGTTTTTATTATTAAACAGTATGGGAATACAAATCAGAATTGGCATATCTATATTAGCCTGATCAGCGGGTTTCCTCTTATCTGAATAAGAGAATAAGAGGTAAAATTTTAAAATCTTCATTTATCTGTATTCCATAATCCTTAACTTAGAAGTTCAAAACCCAAGTGTCCAATAACACTTCCAGGGCTGAACAACAACTGCTTTCCTAAAAACAAAAAATCTTTACTTATTATTTTGAAAACTTGCCACAAAGAGACAAGAAAATCACTGTCATTCCCCTCCCTTAACTAACGCATCCAAACTTCTCTTACCACTGGCCATGTCATACAGCTGTCACTTAATTTAAAAGAGCACCTCCTGGTGTCACTTACGTTTTTACAGGAGCACAGCCCTTAGTGAACACTGTCACACTCCATTTCTGATACTCTTGGCATCTCAGAAAACACAAAACACAATGGTGGAATATTAACGCTGGCGTACTTGGCAATCCATCACTCTAAGAAGCCCAACCTCCTCAGTTTATAAATGAGGACACTGTCACCAGAGAAATGAAGTGTCTCTCTCCCAAAGCCACACAGCTGGTGAGGCAGGGATGAGAGTCCAGAGAGCCTGGCTCCACTGTGACCAAGTGCTCTTTCCACCACTACAACAGCTCAGCATGCACTCCCTGAAATACAAGTTTGTATGAACCACAAGCACATGTTAAATTCTTATCAACAAAACCAGTAGAACAAGACAGAAGTGTATTCCATCAAAAATGAAATGCATGCAGGAGAAAAAGCGGAGACTCAAAGGCTGGCGAAAATAGACGTGGCTCTGCCCAGAACACGTTCTGTCAGAGAAACAATGGTGGCAGTGTGCTCAGGCAGCAGGTGTCCTAAACAGAAACTGCCTGTCACACCGAAAGCTTTCTGGTCCTAGCACTTGCCCTGTTGATAACAGCACAGACCCACTGCTCAAAGCAGGACAAGAGGTTTTCAACAACAGAAAGCTAGACCTTCACCTGTGAGCCACCTGCAAGAGACAAGAGGGATGTGTGCTCACCCCAGTGCTGGAGTATGTGATCAGTGGCACCACGTCTGGGCCTCTTCCTCCCAATACGACTGAAGTATTAGGGAAGAGACAATTAGTGATTTCAAAAATTTAGAAAACAGAGCAGGGATCATTTTGTAATATGTAATAATAGCACCTGGAACAAACGTAGGTCAATTATACTTCAATACAACACTGTTTAAAACAAAACAAAACAAAAGCATCACTAAGAACTAAAATAAAATAATCCTACTGCTTCATATCTTATGCCTGATGCAACCCTAGGGGTGAGCAGCATTTTTCTCTTTTCCTCTAAATGATGCATGGGAAACCCTGCTCACCTCCACTACTTTCTCAGCATCTACCTACAGCGCTCACACCACACCAGTCAGAAGCCTGAGAGTCCCAGAGAACGACAGCAGCCTTAAGAGCAAGGGAGTGAAGAGGACAGATGGCAGCCACAAACTCAAATACGCTCCCGGAAAAGCCTTCACTGAGCTCCCTTCTCACCTGCCTTTGCCTCCCGAGCAGGAAGCAGGACCACAAAGGCACGAAGTGTGAAGCTGCAACGAGGGATGATGTGACCTCACTTTGGAAGTGCCAGGACAAACACAATGGCTCTATCCCGCCCCGACTCAGGAGTCAGGCACCCAATGAAAGGAGAAAACGCGTTTTTTCCACCCCAAACCATTCCTAAAATCCCCACCATCTACTTCCATGGCTGGACCCTGGAGCAAAGACAATACTGAAAGTTTATTCATTCCTTTCTGCGCCTCAAATCTAATGCTAGAGGTTAATGTCCACAGAGGGCAAAAGGAATCAGATTCTTGTCACTAGCTCACAATGAAATCAGAGCTGGCTGGTGAGTATTATTCAAGTAACTCTTTAGAGGCATTTGTAAGGTAATGACAGTAAGTTTAAACTGAGCAATCTGGTAGAATGAACTCTGACCTGCTAATCAAATTGGGCACAATCTTGCTACAGTCACCAAATTATCTTTCTCAACAGAGACTAAACAGAAATTAGAATTAGATCAGATTCATTGATTTTTGAAGTCCTTTCTTACTTGGAACCTTGGCTGTGTGTTGTTTGGTTTTTACTGTCAGTGAATGCCTTCGGTACAACGTGCCCTCAGATACTGCCACCATATGAGAATCTTAAAGGTGTGGCCAGCATTTTTTTTCCCCTATTTTAATGTCACAGGTAAAGTTTCCCTTTCTTGAGCCTGACTCCAGAAATATCAACCAAACCAAATCAATACTTCTGAAATTTCTCTCTCAAAATGATCAGGAGGACCAGACAAGAATACATCAGAGAACATTCCTCTTGTGGTGTTGGAAATTCGATTTTGAAAACTTAAATTCAGAGTATTGATAAATTCACATCTTAAAATGTTTGGGAGAGGAGAGTATAAATTGTTTGAAATAATGAGGATTTTTTTTTAATTACTCATCACCCACAACTAAAAAGAATCTATTATGAACAACCTAAACAAGCACCCAACATAGGCTGTGGAAACATGATGACTATTTGGAAAAGATTTCGATTGTAACGTCCCGTCATGTTCTCAAGTAAAGAGGGTTCCAACAGCTGCAGGGGAAGAAAGGGAATTTATGCTTACTAATGTTTTAAGGCTGTTCTGGAAAGAACAAGAGACAAAGAAATCGGTGGATTTAGAGGTTGTGGTCCGGGCTCTGTTATTTACCACCCAAGGCTTTCTGGGATAACTAACTTATGCTCATTAACCTTTGTTCCATCATTTGTAACATGGGGGTGATGGTATAAGCCAACATCATGAGACTGTCAACCAATGAAACCAAATATGAAGGCATTATAGAAATTTTTAAACCACTATGTATTCATTTAACAAATATTTACTAAGGAACTGCAAAGCTGCCAGATACGGCACTGTGGATACAGGCATGAACGAGAGAGCCGGTCCTTTCCTGCACGGACCTAGGTTAAGGGACGCGGTGTGATCTGTGAGACGCAGAGGGGGCTACAGGAATCTGCAGGCAGCCTCTAATCCAAATACCAGACAAATATCAGGTATTATCACCTTTACAAGCCCTTGAGGATGTTTCTAAGTGAAAAGTGGTAGGCATGGCTTTAGTTTTGGTTAATTGCTAGCTCATTCACTTAGTACATTTTTATTGAATACTCACTATGTGCCAGGAACTATGCTAAGTGCTAGGGATTTAGCGCTGAACAAAATTTCTGCCCTAATGAAGCTGACACTTCAGTCATTCCTCGTCCATATAAAATGCAAAGTACACGAACTAAACAGATTTAAGCGGCAAGACTACTTCTGCTGCATTCCAATGATTTTTTTAACCAAAATATCCACACACAAGCTAAAAGGAGTATTCTAATTGATCTAAATACAGTAAACATTTTATTTCTCATTCGAATCTCCAGGCCACATTTTACAATATACCAAGTAACTGCCATCATATGAAAGGCACTCTTAGGTCTGAGGGATTACAATCTATGTGTGTTTTGGCATGGAGAACACGGCCCCCACCCACATCTTTCCCCCCACCCCAAGGAAAAAGAACATATGTTGGAATCCATCCAAACACAAC